GTGGATCTTGCATCTGGAGAAGCCCACAAGCCTGTAAATCAGCAAACTGTCACATCAAGCAGCTGAATTACTGTGTGATGACATGAGCCACAGCATCCCATGGCATCAGAGAGGGGAGATTTTCTTGCAGAAAAGAGCATTGCAAAGGCTGAGCAGTGGGACCCTGGGGACTGCTGGGGAGCTGAGTGAATCAGCCATGCTGCTCTGCTCCATGCTGCCGTGGCAAAACTGACTTTGCATCTAAATTAGCTCATTTAAAAGTGTCCTGGGCACCTCTGCACCATCCTTTCCTCCCTTATGTGACTGCATAAGAAAATTTAAAGGAAAAGGCAAAACACTGTCTTTCTAAAATCTACAGCCTAGCTTATCATCCATAAATACAGCACTTCTCCAGGCATTTCCTGGCTGATGCTGTTCCCTCCCAAATACCCAGAGAAATCCTCAAGTGCTGTATACTAGAGGTTATTAATACAAAAATAATTGCACAGAACAGACCAAAGAGAAAAACAGCAGGTTATTCCATAAGCCCAGAAAAAATTTTTTTTTGTTATAGTTTTTGTTACTATAAATCAGTATTTCCTGATCAGCAGAGCACACTGAGATGGTGAGCTGTACAAATCTCAAGAATGAGGCACAGCATCTTGTGCCTTCTAATTAGTTCTGCTGGCATAATTGACTCTGGCTGGGCACCAGAGCTGGCACAGCTGTGAGCTGACAAGGCTGTGAGGAGGCAGGAGCAGGTACAGAAGAAGATGGGCAACAGCAGCATCACACACCTGTGAGAGCAAGGCAAGCAAGGGAAGACCCTAGGGCTGAGGGAAGAATACATAGAAAAGATCAGAAGAAATAGAGAAGGACTGACAGGCAAAAACAAATGAGAAAGAAGGAGGTAGTAGTTCTGATGTCTGCCTAAAAGAGCAAAGAACCTCTGGTTGAAGTTGATGAAAACTGTACATTTGTATGAACAAAGGTTCTGAACATGAAATACTTGTTAAAGATTTGGTGGTTGGTTGTTTGGGTTTTTTAAGCTATTGCACAAAATCCTACTGATTTTTTTTTCATGGTGACAGTCAGTTTGTCAACCTTCACTGACAGAATAGAACCAGGGAAACATCTTGGAAACAGGATGTGGCAACAAAGAACACAACAAGAACTGCAAAAATTGTCCCAATTTGCATACAATTAAGATAGGAAAAAACTGTGTTTTTAAGGGTAAAGGTATGGATTCTTATGGATTCCCTCTAAGGGAAAAGGTATGGATTTTCCTCTCAGTGCATCCAGAGTATTCTCTATAAACATGCAGGGTTTTTGTTAAACAATGTTGACATTGATATTGTATCTAATTAATTCACACATAGCACTGGGAGGGAAAAGTAACACATTCCTTCTTATTTCTTCTTCTGAAATTAGATGCTTTGTTGTATTTATTTTCTATTTTGCTATAACCAAATTCCTTCTTTAATTTTTTTAAATAATACTAGACCTGCTTCTAGTGAGTGACAGTAGTAAAAAGCATTCTGCCAGCCAGCCCCTGCCTTTACCGAACAATTTAGAAGGTTTTAAATGTTTTGTTCATATTTTTCTGTCCCCATGAATGCCTTCACCATTGGTGCTACCCCCAGGAAGAGCTTCCCACCACAGCTGGCACTGATGCTCCTCAGCTCCTAGCTGCTGGCCTCCTGCAGTTCCCCACAGCAACCTCTCCATCCTCTGGAGGACTTCAAATTTAAAATCAGTGTGTAACCTTCTCACCAGTGTTCACCTTTTCAGACCCATGAGCCCGGCAGACCCACAGAAACAAGCTCTGCTCAGGTTTCTCAGGGGCTGGAAAGGGGTCACTCATCCCCTCGCTGGTGTCTCACCTCCCAGGACAGCTGAAGGCAGGGTTTGGCATCACAGGGGTGGATGTCACTGTTGCACAGCAGGAACAAGTCACAGGCCTGATGCAGCATGGAGATGTCAAGGGTGGTCTGGGCTCCTCTGGACATGCAGCCCAGCACAGTCTCAGCAGACAAGAGATTTGCAGCAAGCTCCCCTCTCTTTGTTTCACAGCATCCTGCCTAGGCCAAAGAGCCTTTGAGGTTTATCTAAATTACAGTGGTTCCTTCTTATTTGCCCACTATGAGTGTGTCTCTGTTGGAGTTAAAAACAGATTAATGTGATGAGGTATGACTCCTTCCTGCAGAAACTTTGCTCTTTAGATACTACCCTTTTTCTTTTTTTTCCCCTACTTTATATTCTGTCTTCAACCAGCTTATAAAACAGAAGTGTATATCTGGGTATAGAGAGTGTGTGCTTTCTCAAATTATCTCAATCCTGTTTTCAACTCTGGGTACAACTGTTACCTTCCACTTCTCCAGCAAAATAGCTGTTTTTAATTAAGGAAGGCATATTTTTGCTGCAGATCAGCTATTTCATACTAAGCTCCTTCAAAACTTTTCAATATACCATCTGGAGCTGATGATTTGCTGCTTTTTAAATTATCGATTTGTTCCAGCTCTTCCTTCTGACACATCTTGATTACCAGAAAGGAGCAAGTCCCAGTAGGTATCACTCTGATATTCTCTGTGCTGAGGAGTGCTGCAAACAAATCATTTAGATTCTCAGCAATGTCCTTATCTTCTTTAATTTCTGCCTTTCATTTTCGATGATCCATTTTCTGAACCAGCAGTTAATTATTCCAGCTCTCCTGACTGACACACCTGAAGCACTCTTATTTTATAACTCTAGTATTTTGTAGTGCACCATGCTTCCTTTTTATTTCCCTTTCATCTAGCCTTTACACTTATTAATAAACCAATGTATTGGAATGCTAAGGTTAGATTTTCAGGTTTGGAAGGGTTCCCTGACACTCAGTTGTACTGATTTCCTCTTTGTTTGCCCAGTGTTACTGCTGTTGGCAACATACATGCCCTCCAGACTCTATTATTGTTCTTAAGTGGAATTCATGGCATCTTCCTCTACTCTTCCCTCAGGAGCTTTTGTGACAAATCCTCTCAACACAACCAGAGCCCAGATGCTCTGAAATTTCAGACAGTTTTTTGTATTTATTTCCCACTAAGCAACAGGACTGTATTACATTAATATGTCTGCTAGCAGCTACAGATGCAATCTTGTCTTGAATCCCTTCCTGCATATTGATTAAGAACTAAAAATCAGGATATGAGGATGTAGGCACCTGAAAAAGGTGGCATTTTGATCTGAAATTTCCTACTGACTTATGGCTCTGGCCCAAGCTGGGAAAACAGGCACCTGCTCCTTTTTAATCCTTTCCAAAGGCAGTATTTGGACAGTACCTGGCAAACCTGGGGTGTGTAATCCATACCAGCAGCAAGTTGGTTTTGGAAACTGCTTGTCCACAATAGTGCAGTGATTGGAGTACTTCCTTCCAGACATGGAAAGGCTGCATGGCAGGGAGGTCAATTTCAAATGAAGCACTTGGGCACCTGGCAGGGGGAAGAGGGCACACCCTTCCTCTTGTTGGGACAGGGTTCCTGGCTCAGAGAGACCTGCAAAGCTGCTGGGGTGAGAGGAGGCCTGGCACCCCAGCTTGGTGCTCTGGGGTCTCAGAGCGGAGAGGTCTCCCAGGTTTGAGTCAGTGTGCTGATCCTAAACCCCTCATTTCATCCATGAGCTCAGTGCAAAATGGTCCCTAAAACAAAGTGTGTAAATTACTGTCTGGTGCCTGCTGAGACTCCTCCTCAATATGCAGGAGGAGCTTGTCTTTCTGAGACAGGCTTGTCTTTCTGAGACACAGGTGTTAGGGATGATGTTAAAGCTGTGGCCTGAGCCCTGAGCCATCTCCTGCTCAGAGCTCTCACTCCTCAGGCCCAAGGAACATCCAGCTCCTGCCTGAAAACTTGACAGTTTGGCAGAGTGAGCTGAACTGTACCTCAAGTTCACATGAAAAGCAAAGGAATTTGAACAGGCTTGCTTTGGGCTTGTTAAACTCCTTCCTGAATTGCTGTTCTTTAGTATTTTCTTCTGGTTTCCTTCTGCTGGCACACCTAAACATGGCTGGACAGCAGACTGCTTCCCTACCCAGCTCATGCCAAATCATTACTCATGTAGCAAAAGCCCCCACAAAATGTCAGCTGAGCTTTAAATCATTAATTGTTAAGGAAAAAAAAAATAGAATCCTACCAATGGCTATTGAATTGCTGTTAATGATTTAAAAAGGACGGACTAGAATGCAGCACAACAGACATAACCCTCAAGTGCTTCTGCTCCAAAGGAGGCTTGGCCATCCTCTCTCTGGTGGCTCTTTCCTCACCAGCCACTTCACCTCCACCCCTGGCCATGCTCACTTCAGCCACAGAGCAGTGGGTGCCACAAACTCAAAATGGCTCACGCACAGCACAGGGGTGGCTGCAAGCAGGGACGCCTCATAACCCACCCAGACACCTGCAGAAGGTTTGCTTTTGGCCTCTCTGCCTGTCAAGAAAAAGATCTTATTTTGGTTATACCCATTCAAATAAAATAGACCTCAGGCTGAAGAAGTGGGGAGTTACATTTATATCACATTTAAAACCCTGGTCACTGCCTGGTTACACATGCAGACATACTCAGAGACAGAAGCAACTGGGGAAAGGCCTTTGACGTTCCCTTCCATTAAATATTCCTCAAGTCCCCAGCCTGGTGACTTCATGTTGCTACAGCTACTCCCAGGGCATCCACAAACCTGTTCCAGTTCCTGCTCATCTTTCCTGGCCAGGTTTGAAGCCTCTGAACCAGATGAGCTGAGAGGATGCTAACAAAACATTAAATCGACAAGAAAATGTCACCACAACCCTCTGACCCCCTGCTCTGCCGAGAGACCGAAAGAACCCCAAATTCCCCTTTGCCACCTCCGATCTTCCCACCCCGATCCGCCCTCAGGCTCGGCGCTCGCAGGGCCCACAGGTGCCCGGCCGTGAGGCGGGTCCGTGTGTGGGGCACGGCCGGGGCTGCCCCGGGCCCCGCGGAGCCGCCCCGGGCCCCGCGGAGCCGCTGGCGCTTACCTTGGCAAGGGGCACGTGTGCGGGACCTCGGGCCGCCTGCCCCGGGGATGGCGCAGGGAAGCGGCAGGGAAGCGGCAGGGAAGAGGCCGGGAAGCGGCAGGGAGCCGGCGGGTCCCCGAGGAGCCCCGGAGCGGGCGCGCAGCTCCCCGGAGAGGCAGCGGGGCCGCGGGAGCCGGCTGGGGCACAGCGCTGCTCAGGCGGCGGCTCCGGGCAGGGCAGCGCGCTGTGGAGCTGCTCCCCGCCGCGGCGTTCCCATCTCGCGGTCCCGGCGAGCAGCAGCGCCCTCAGGCACGGCCGGCATCTCCGGCGAGGGCTGGGAGCGGCATCGCGGTGTGTGCCTGGGTGGGTAACACCGGCACCGGCTTCTCCCAAGGAAAACGAGCACCCCAAAGAGTAAAATGCAACACAGATGGAAAACAGGCAGGACCGCATTGAGAGATGCTTCTGGGTCAGGGCTGTGCCGCTTCCCCGGTCCAACAGCACCATCTCCTGGGTGGCCGTGGCCGCTCGCCCCAGAGCATCTCCCCGTAAGAACCCGGGCAGCTTTCCTCGGCCATCAACGTGTCTCGTCTATTTTCAGACACTATCAATATTTTTGCAACTGTTTCCTTTCACATCCTTTGCTTGTCTCTCATGAAATATCACAGATGGATGAGTAAATAAATGGAATACTAGAATGTGTATATTTTTTTTAATCAGCAGTACAAAGCATTCTTGAATACCAGCCCTAAATCTGCTCTTTTCCTGAGCTGAGAAGGTTTAAATGTGTATCCAGTCTTCATGGAGCACATCATGTGCTGCTTCTCAGAGAATGCCTATACTTTCTTCAAGGAAAAAAATCTACTTGAAGATCTGTTTAGAGTTTAGACAAGTGAAACGATGGAAAAAAGCAGAAACTATAGACTTCAGAGTATTACCGTTCAATGGGTAAATCCTGTCTGACAGGTAGTATTTCAAAGATACTCCTTGTAGTATGTATTTGAAAGCTCTAAAATGCTTGTTGAGATGCACCCTGTAAAAGCATGTGGTTTTCACTCACTAGATCATAGGTTTAAGACTAAAGGCTCCAAAACTTTATTCTCTCTATAGCTATTATCATCCAAGTAACAAATAACTTTTGTGTTTCAGTTTCCATTAGTCTGCAAAGTGAAGAATTGTTTCACTGTTTTGAGGCTAAATTGTACATAAAATCCTTCAGGCTTTGAAGTCTGTGCTTATATAAGCCAAAAAAAGTTTGTGTCAATGATTTTTTTAAATTCAATACTCATCCAAAGCCCCTTTTAACTTAATTTACTGTTAAATGCCTGGCAAAATTTTACAGAAACTCACCTTTAAAAGATTCTAAGTAGGTCCCTCATGCAAGTTTTAAGTTAGGAGGGACAATATGTAACTACAAATACAGACATACATGCCTGCACTTGTGCAGGAACAGTCTCGTGGCTTTTTATATAAAATTGTTGCAAAAATGTAAAGAAAAAATAATTTTCCCTGTTGTTTGCTAAATTAACATCTTTTTGATTACATACAGCACTGTGCATTCAGCTCAGTTACACCCTATGACTGCCATGGCTTTTATGGAGTGCCATGGTCTTTCCAACTGAAACCCTTTGCTCCTGGCCTACTCCCTTACTTTCAGAAAAACAAGGCCTAACAAGAAGCTGGATTATTGAAAAAAAAATGTTGAAAATAAGACCTGAATCCACTTAGCCATTTCAGTCCTATTTTCTGTGTAACTAAAACCTGCTTTCCCTGGGAGATTCCAGGGAAGGCCTCAAGTAGTTAAATCGGTGAGGCCATGATCAGGTCACATCAGAGACAGCACTGCTTTGACAGAGCTATTAAATGAAACAAGCAGCATCCCAAAGGAAAATCCAAAACCATATAATGAACCAGCCCTTTACAGAGCAGTGTGTTCATCTCAACTCTTTTAGCCAACAAACAAGCTTGGCCTACCACCCAGCACCAGTAACAATCCAAACCCTTTCCACTCTCCTTACCTTTCCTTTGTCTTTGCACCTTTGCTCACAGGTCCCTTAACTTACAGGTGACATCTATCTTGTAACTCATGAATGTTTTTTTCTTCCACAGTCCTGTAAATATGGATATTGAACAAACCTGTGTAAGAAGGCCTGGTTTCTGCAGAAGGGACATGCAAATCAGATTGGAAAGGGATTTATTGATCAGGCTGCCAGCTCTGCTTTTTAATATTGCCCTTCTTAGAGGCAGGCACTGCCAGGGTCTTGCTGGGATTCTTGGTGACAGCTCAGGAGAGATTTTCTTTGCTACAATTCTTCGATTTCATGTTCTCAAGTTTGATTGTTTTCCATGCACTTTGTTTGTATTGACAGGCTCCCAGAAAACTCCTGCCAAAGATTTCTAGCCTACTTTTTAAAGAGAACCAGAGAACTCAGTGAGAACATGAAAATAAGCCTACATATTTGTCAGACCTAAAATAAAGTCACTTAAGTATTTCAGGGCATTTAGATGGTATAAAGTTATTTTTTTCAGAGCAGACAAGCAATGAAGAATAATGACCATGTCCAAACATTTGGTGGCAAAATTAAGGCAAGTCATTAAGGCTGAGAAACACACTTGCTGTGAAACCCCTTAATATGCCCTGAGCTGTTAACAGCTGTTTTCTCAGGAAAACAACTTTTGTGGTAATTGATTTTAATGCTCCCAACACAAAATTAGCAGCACAATAGCATGTGTTTGCAACCTGTTCCCTTCTGCTCCTTACAGGACCAGTTCAAGAAGAGCAAAGAAACATTACATCCCATTTTGGTGAAGGTTTAAGACACTAGATCAGCTTTGGAATATGAACAATCTCATTTTCTTAAACCAAAGCACCTTGTTTCATGTCAAAGAGGTACGAAGTGCTAGCAAATACAAAATATTATATTAATGTATGATCTGGTGGATAAGTTGGTCCACTCAGTTCAGCCTTTCAGCACAGCAGCAACACCAAGAACATCCTCAGAATAAAATGTATTACAGTAATGGTTTCCAGTTTGGTAAACGTTCATACTGCAACCCTGTATTAGAGTAACAATCCCACATAAGTTTATGTGCATTCACAGGTATGTCCCTGCGAGCTCTCAGCAGGGCAATCCAACCAAGAGCGATCCAGCAGCATCTCACCAGAGGAGCAGGCAGCCAGAATTCCTGCCTGGCACAACACACAAGAGCACAAAGAGCGGGAATGGGACTGGCAGCTCCACACACCCAACCTTGATCCACAGAAGCCCTGCAGGTGGCAATGCTCCCACCCAGCCCTGCCCCCTGCCCTATCCACCAGAGCAGACCCAGCTCACAACCAGGCAGTTTTGCCTCTCTCTTCACTGAAGATGGCAAGGGCAGGTCCTCATTTTGCTCTTGGCTGTCCTCAGCAACTTCAGTTGGCCTTCCCAAGGCCCACTCTTGACCACTGTCACCTCTTTGGTCTTCACTCTGCAGCAGAGGAACCCAGGATGAGCAAGCAGCTGCAGCAGCTTCCCCATCCCCTCCCTCACCTCCCGTGACAAGCTGCTCCTCCTGGGGAGAGAAAAAGTCACCCTTTGTTCCACAGAACCTGTCACATCCTCCTGGCCAAGGATTCCTCATGGAGCTTCCAGCTGGCACCAGGCCCCCAGTGTGAGCTCAGCACACTCACTGGTACTCACCCCATACTCCAGTATTATCAGTTGCCTTCTCCCATTGCCTAAGAGCATGAGAAAAACAGGTGCAAATGTCTCCTCAAGAGAGGCATGGGCTTTTTCCTCAAAAAAATCAGTTTCTCTGTAGCATCCCTTTGGGATTGGAAGCATATGTGCCCTTGTGCCTCTGGTTTGAGGGACAGCAGAGGATGATGAGCAGAGTGCACAATACTGCCCATCTTCTAAAATGAGCCTCTAGAACTAGTTTCTTGGGGAAAATACTCTCAGTCAGCAACAAAATAAAGCTCTTTGTGAGCACCTGAAGTTTACAATTTAAGAAGATGGTAATTTTTTTTATTGCAGCTGGTTTGACATGATCATTTTTATCAATGTAGAACAACTGCTCATGCACACATTGGCTGGAAATGTACAGCTTGCATGGGAATGCAGGCAGAAATCCCAATTTCATTCCCCACTGTGGCTCTGTCACACATACTTCATGGAATCACTGTTGCTGTTACTTGCTCAGTAACATGTTCCAGTCAGGTAGAGATTGATATAAACACCACTGTGTATGTTATGCAAAGGTTTAATCAAGTAATTAAAATCTGAAGAGGGGAAGAAAGTAGAGGAAGGAAGAAAAACTTGCATGGTTTTTAAAAGCAGGAACTCTGGGAGAAAAATTTCACTGCATAGAGAATAAAGACTATCTAACAATGCTGAAATTTTCTTTATGTTAAATTGCTGGCAAATGTTACTGAAAAATATTCAGCTTGTGCAGAAAACGAGAGAGCTATGAAACAGCAAATTTGGGGGATTCTTTTTTAAATAGATTTATTTAGTATTCAGACTAAGAGTTAACTATTGAAGCAAAAAATAATTACATTTTCTTCATTACCTTTTTGTTTACGGGGTATACTCATTTCAGTAGGTCAGTGCAAATAACCAAAGACTTTTGAAATTTACTCTATTTTTAAACATTGTTTTACATTCAGAATGGCAAAAACTACTTGTGATTAGCCATAAGAAAGTTCATTTAATCTGAATTCAAATGCTCAGAACAAACCTTCTTTGATACCCTAACCTTTGCCTGATGTGGTGTGGCACATGAACAGAAAAAATCCTGCCCTCACACCTCGGTGCCTCACAGCCCCAAGTGGAACCTCCTGCTACACAGCGGCCACACAGGGACCTGCACAGACCTGCTGTGAGTACCCACAACACACACACTGTACCTAATCCTGCTGACCCTGACTGCATCCAGTTATACAGGGAGCTTACTGTTGTCAGTTTGGCAAATCCTGTGCAGAACGTTCTACAATATCATCTCCACTGCTAGCTCAAGTGGGCAGGAGAGATTTAGAACCAGAACTTACATCAAATCTCTCCTGACTACAGGTTCCAGTCCTGTTCTCATCTTTCACTGACCATTTATAATTTCTTCTTTCTCCAGAACACATTTTATATCCCATGCAGTGGAAAACATCCTAGGCTTCCAATCAAAAGTAGTATCAGTTTCATTAGACATTTAAAATAAAGAGCAACTACTGTAGACAATCAACATAAAACACAGTTTATTTCCAACCATTTGCCTAATTCACATGCAGACTGGTTTATATTAATTACACTGCATTTAAAAATAGCTTGGTTAGCTTTTAACCATAGCAGTATTGCTATTGAGCTGAAGCTACACTGGTTAATATAATTTCTTTTCATTTAGAGAAATGTGGTTAGGTAGGTACTGAACACTTCAGAGACTTTCCACAAAGAAATATTTATCCATTCAGTAACTTTCTGCTGCACTCACCTTACCCACATGAACATTTCATCTGTAAATCCCATGTTTGAAGAGTTATTCTCCTGAACACATCAGTCAGGAGAAAACACTTGGAAACACAACAAATATAAAAACATAGCAAGCAAATAATACAAGATTACAGTAATAACTGAAGTATTCTCCTGTACTATTTCAAGCTAGAATACTGAAGCCTTAAATAATTCCCACTGACACAGAACTCCCATACACAGAGTATATAAGCACGGGGAAAAGCTGTTTTGCAAGAGGTAGAAAAGGTTTTATAAAATATTCAGGCACAATTCTTAGCAGTGTTAAAAGCCATCAGAAAGTTACAAAGTAATAATGACCACTATACAAGATTTGTACAAGTTCTGTTTATTTTTACCCTTCAGAATAAAAGTATATTTCATGCACTCTCATATAATCTTTTTTCTCCTATATTGTTGGAAAACTGTTTTTCTCCTATACTGTGTGTGATTACACAAGTTTTACAGGCTCTCAGGAAGTCTTATCACCAGAAGTTAAACAGAAAAACAGATGCACTATTACTTAATGCTTTTTCAAGAGAAGCAAGGGAATGCAAATGCTGTTTGTATAGGTTCATGTATCAAAGAACAGACAATCACACATGTAAAACCCATAAAAATATTATTAGTTCTTTTGGTTTACTCCCACCTCAATGAAGAAGAGCGCTTTTAGAAGTGAACTTTTTTAAAACACAGATTTTCACAAACATTTGCTTTACAGTGCAGTGGTTACACTCAAATTTTCACAATACCCATAAATCAAAATACCAAGATCACTACATTTACCATGAGCTAAGAGACATTCACTTAGTGTCAGCTCAAACAGATGCTTTCCTTGACCTAAAGTATGTAAGGCTTTATGGGCAACAAGTTCTTATCAAAGATTTGCTTTATTCCTGTCACAGCATTTTGTTTTTCTCATGTTACTTTTTCTCTTGGTCTTTTTCTGCATCCAGCAGCGCTGAACGGATTCCCAGCTTCTTCAGCTCTTCTACAAGATCTCCATTCTGGTGCATCTGGAGGAGTATATCACAGCCACCAACAAATTCACCATTGAGGTACACTTGTGGGATGGTAGGCCAGTTGGAGTAGTTTTTTATTCCTGAATAAGAAAAAACAAAATGATTAGAGGTTTCCCTCCCTCTCTTAATAGAATGGTATTTTACAAGGAAAGCATGGCTTCCACCTGACTCCACCACTGACATTCCAATTTCTTTCCCATAAAGGCAAAAGGATATCTACATAACAAGAGCACTATCAGAAAAAAAAACCTGTATTAAAGTTACGTTTGTTTCCTAGCCCAACTCAAAGATGTGGGTTGAAAGATATGGAGTCAGAAACACATCTCTCTTTACTCCCAACAAGAAAACATGACTTTCAATCAATTACAGAAATGAGAAGTATTGAAAAATATTGAGAACTGTTTACTTTCTGTTGTATTTCCCAGAGGGACTTTTAAAATACTTTATACTCTTACTGAACTCATACAGTTACACTTATTCCTGCAATTTCAGCTGCAAGATACATTTGCCCCTGTAGAGGCCTTATGAATTTCAAATTGCTTTATCTTTCAATGCCAGACCTTCCAGCACATGGGAGGGGCACAAAGGCTGAAGTCTTTTTAGAAGTGCTCATTTAACAAAACACAGCTCTAGGCACAATTATGAAGTACAGAACTAAAGTTTAAAACTATACTTCACAAAAGGCAAATGTAAGACCACCCAAAAATATAAAGTGATCAGCTGATACACACTGGAACAGCTTGCACTTAGACATCACAAGAAATTACACAAGAATCCTTGTATCTAAACTGCCACTTATTTAAATGATCCTTCACACAAAGCCATCATTTCTGTAGCAAAGGAAATAGCTAAAACCTACTGTGCCTATTTTTATAACACAACCACAAGTATTTGATTAGATGACAAGTTTTGAATTCAACATTTTTATGTATTTTCAACATGGAGTGCCTGGATTTTTCCAACAAAGGCATGAAAGCAAACTTAAGCCTACAGAGGCACCTTTTCAGAACATCAGAGCCCACTCACCTTGGAAGCCAACTCCCCACCAACAAATATTAGACCTGAGTAGCTGATAGCACAAGAGAACTTGTTTTCCCCTAAGAAAACATTTTAGCCTCTAGAGACTAAAAAACAACCCCCCCCCAAAAAAAACCAAACCATGAATGTTATTAAAAAATAACCATGGAGGTAAAAAAATAACCATGTAAGGAAATTATGCTCGCTTTATTGGAACTTAAACCACATTATTTTTAGTAAATATGTATAAGTGGAAATATATACAGTGTATATACTTTTATACTTAATGTATAAAAGATGCAATATAGCTAATGATTAATACCCCTTAGCAAAATACAATATGCTTTAAAAATCCACTAAAATAATAGCAACCTAGAAAAAAAGGGTGTTGTGACTAAGGGTTTCTAACCACAACATAAGTCAGCTAAGAGATTTTATTCTGACTTTAGATTTTGTGTGTGGACAACCACCCTTTCATAAGCCCAAAACAGAAAGTTTAGCATATAAATCAAGGCCAAAGGGAACCCATAACCATCTAACCTCTATCATCACCACATGCAGTTTCTTCCTTGGTTTGCAGAGCTTTTAAGCTTTGATGTCAATTTCCACTTAGCAATACTTTTCTTAAATGCTCTTTGGCCTTAAACTGCCCTAAATATCCTTTAATCCATCAAAGTTTTAATTGAAAAGCATGTTCCATGATTAAGACATGCCTAAAGATGGACTCTCATCAAAGATGCACTGCAGTTATGAAATAGGGTTCATTTTTCTTAAGATACTGCAATGCTAAACATGAAGTGAGAACCAAGGGTTCTGCATTATAAACCTTCTGCTAATGAGCATTCCAAGGCAATATTTACATCAACAATTCTTTCACAGAAATATTTTCTTCAAGGACCCACTGCACACACATACAAGCACTGACAGCACTCTCAAGGACCCATCCAGCTTCAGATAAAAACAAGAATACCATGAAGCTCATTTGCTGTGTGTGCTGCATTTCTGGTGCTGGACAAGCTGCTTTAAATGCCTCAGTGCTGGGGCTCTCCAGGTCACAAACTGAACCCTCCCTCCCCCAGGGCAGCACCCCCTGACACTGCTGCACTGGGCTTACAGCAAGTCAGGGCTGCAACTGCTGCATTTGGGGTGCACATCTGGGATGATTCTTCTGGACATCCCAAAGGATCTCCATCCCCTCTCTGCAGACTGAATCCTTGCTGTACTTCAGAAGCTGCAGCTTCTGCTCTGAACCTCTGTTTACTTTGGAAAAACACTGCACAGGTCAGGGTGTCAGTCTGACAGCTCTGGCAGCACATTTAAGGTAAGCGTGAAACCAGGGTTGGTGCAAGGAGCTATAGAAACGAGTACCCAGCACATTCCCACCCCTCTCCCCAGCTCCAGGTACCAATTCTCAGCCACCCTTGGCAGCATTAGCACTAATGAAGGATGGGCCATGTCAAAGAACTGAATGAAGCAACTCTCATTCCTACCATACTTGCTCCAGAAAAGCAACACATTTTCATGGATAACACAGAACCATTAAGGCTGGAAAAGACCTCTAAGATCACCAAATCCAACTGTTATCTCAGCACCAGTAAACCATACCCCCAAGTGTCATATCCACATGCCTTTGAAACACTTCCAGGGATGGAGATTCCAACACTTCCCTCTGCAGCCTGTTCCAAAGCCTGAGTACCATCAGCACTGATACAAGTTTTACTGAGGGAAGGCTAGCCCAGGGTGGGAGAAAGGATCAACAACACCTGCTTGGCAGCATCCCATGCTTAGATACTGTAGAGACAGCAATGAAAATAACCTGAGGGTGAACTACCACAACAGTTTAAACCATCAATTTTCCAGTATCTAATCCCAAATGTCTCTGCCTCAGTGACTGGAACCAGTCTAACACTGTCCATCAGCTGAGAGCTGACTGAAACCTGAATTGCCATGGAGCCCAAGAGAGTGCCAAGGTCTCTTAGACCAGCTTTGATAGGATTTGTGTCAGAGATCTGTATCTTCAGCTCAAGTTCAGACAGATCACATGAAGTACCAATAACTTTAGTTTCACAGATCTGAGTTTTTAGGTAAAGAGGCAAGCAGGGGAGTTGTTCTAGCCTTACAGCTTGCCATATTTTAGCACAGTGTATGTTTCACCAATTGAACTATAACTAGCTAAAAATAAGGTGTTTCAATAGATACAGGCAAGAAACCAACAAGCAATCCAGACATGCCTGAACTACCCTTTCTCCAGCAGCCTGCCCCTACTACAAATGTATAAATACACATTTATTTAACCACTGAAGTTAGGTGCAGGTGAACACAAAGCTGGTGGCCAGCTCTCTGATATAGAGATCTCCTTGCAGATCAGTCCTTTGCTGATTTATTTGATACTTGCACAGCTAAAGGTTCCACACCCCCTGACCAGCCCCCATGCAGAGCAGATTAGGCTCCCAGGGAGAGCCTAGCAAAGGCTCACATGGTGCATATCTAAATGTTTGGCACTGAGGCCAGATCCCGCCCTTCAGGCAGTCGCTGCTCAAATAGGGTTGGCAACTTTGACAACTGCAACTTTGAGCAGCCCTGTCCTCTCCTGTGTCAGAGATTGCCACCACAGAAGCAGGCACATCCTCACATCCTGGCTTTCAGGGTGAGTAGGTGATCCAGCTGAAGCAGTACAACAATTCTGTGGCTGTGCCATTCCCCAACTCCTCAAAGCTCCGTTCTTCGTGCTGGCTCTGGCACTCAGCTCACTGTACAAACTGCTGCTTCAACTTGCAGGCCAGTGATCCAGTTAATAAAATGAGCTGGCCCTCTGCACAGCTGGACAGGTGCCAAAGCTGTGCATGGAAAGGACCAGAACAACTCCTTTAAGCACCTGAGAACCAGCAGGATATTGTGCAAGAGCACACTCTGTAACTGCATTCTGTGTAGCTTAGACACTGGAGGACCTGATCAGGACACTAACTTCAATTTAAAGCCCTGGTAGCCAGGAGGGCAATAACCTCTCTCCTTGCCTAGCACAAGCCCAAGTTCATGTGGAGGAAAAATTTAAGTTACATAGAAAGAAAATACTATCTACTCACATGGTCAAGTGCTCAGGGCCTTATAAAGGCACTGCCCATTCAGAGGCTCACTAAAGTCCCCTCAACCAAAAGTGAAATGCCGATGGTTTGATTTCAGGGTTTTGTTTCCTCCTTTTTAGTTTATGAATTGTGAGAAGAGATAAGAGTTTGTACTAGCAAACTGTACAATTAATAAATTCAGATATGTAAACAAAGCTTAGAAAATTACCATGATTCACCTGCAAAGGCAGAGGAAGGTTTACTTGAACAAAATCAACCTTCATTAACAAAAGATGTCATTACACAGAAATTCCAGTATCTAAGCTTTTATACCATACCAACTACTATAGTTGTGAATTGAAAAGCAAACAAGGACTGGAAAAATCAGCCTTTTAGCTAAGAGCTAATAAAAAACTGAGTTAGTCAGATGATACCAAAACCAAAGGAGAACAAAGTCACCTGATACATGCCAGCATGTGGCTTTACAGCACAATGTAGTGTATTCTGGGCAAGAACTGTTAATGCCACACACATACAAGACTAATTAGTAGGTACTTGCATGTATTTTTTTGTTTAAAAACTTTCTCAAATAACCACACAAAACCTCAACAATCAGCCATGCTCATTGAAGAGGGAAACATGAAAAGCATTACCAGAACAGATATCTAGCTTTCCTCAATGGCAAAAAACCTTATATAGAATAGCTACTACCACCCGTACAGTAATGGTGAAACTATTACTAAGTATTTCTTGTGCAAATGATTAACATAAATTTGCACTTTATCAGGAGAATCCCAGCAGGCAGTGCCAGCTGGGAATCAAGTAGTGCAAGTCCAGGCCATACGTGAAATTTCACCATACTGTTCACAGGGAAGACAAAGCCTGATAATGCAGTATTTCAGGGTCTTTAATGCAGCTCTCTATCTCTCAGCCAGGCAGGGCAGGGTGGCACAAAGAGCCCGATCTCCAATCATCACCCTGCACCCACAACTGCGCTCTGCTGATAACTGAGACCTCCTGAACACTACGAGGGTCACAAAAACCACACCAGGGCGTCTGGGCAGCAACCTCAATGGCACATCTCTGTGATACACTCCCAGTTCCACCAACACCAAAGAGAATCACAGAATTAATTAGCTTAGAAAAGACCTCTGAGATCATCGAGTCCAACCCATGACGTTACAGACTGAACGCCATCCTGTCAAACGGACCATGCACTGTGTGCCACGTCCAGTCCTTCCTCAAACACCTCCAGGGACGGTGACTCCAACACCTCCCTGGGCAGCCCATCCCAATGCCTGATCACCCTTTCTGAGAAGAAATTCCTCTTAGTATCCAACCTAAGGCTCCCCTGGCACAACTTATAAGTGTCCTGTTGTTGCCTGGGAGAAGAGGCCGATCCCCGCCTGGCTACAGCCTCGTTCATGCAGTTATAGAGTAATAAGGTGGCCGGTCCCATGCACCATAGCACTCCTGCAGGTTAAACACCGCCAAACTCCCCCTGCCGCTCCTCACAGGACACGGGCTCCAGACCCTTCCCCAGCCCCGCTGCCCTTCTCCCCACCATCTGGCCTCATTAAAAAATAACAGAGCCCAACCCAGCCCACCCAACAAAGCCAGAAGAGCCAAGTTACAGGTGGGCCAAGCGGGCAGGGCCGCTCCCGCAGTGCCCGAGGGCGCTAAGCCAAGCCCGCCCTGCCGGCAGCTCCCGAGGGCCCTTCCCCAGGACAGCCGGCCCGGCTCTGCCCCGCGGAGGCGGCACCCAGAGGTGACCCGGGCGCTGACCTTGGCGGAGGTCGGGGTCCTGCAGCACGTCGTGGGCGCGGTAATCCTCCACGCCGTGCAGCCGCAGGATCTGCACCACGGCGTTGCTGAAGCCGCAGAGCGGCTGCGCCGGGCTGCCCTTCATGAACACCACCACCGGGTGCTCCCGCACCAGCCGCTCCACCGCCTCCCGCGACCCCGAGCCGCCGCCGCCCTCAGCGGCGCCGCCGTCCCCGGCCGCCTGGCTGAGCGGGCGCCCGGCCCGGCCCCGCAGAGCGACGCCGGTTCCGATCCGCCATGCCGCCCTCAACGCCGCTCTCATCGCCCCGCCACCGGCACCGCCGCACAGCGCCCGCACCGCCCGCCCATTGGCGCACGGCGCGACGGGCCGCCGGAGAGCTTCCTCCGATAGGCGAAGGCACCCGCCAATCATCACCCACAGCCAATAGCGCTGAGAGACAGCGAGACCCGTCCCGCCCAGCAACCCTGAGGTGGCTCCACTTTCCTAGTGGAGGGAACAGAGCGGCTGCGGCTGCATTGGAAGAGAGGCCTGTCAATCAACCATGGATCGCTTAATCCCGCCCTCTTCCCGGACGCGATTGGTCAGACTGCCCCGAGGCGGGGCTTTTCTCGGGATGCTCGTTGGGCGATTGGCGTAACGTTCCTTCCGTTTCCGGGTAGCGGCTGCACGCGGGGCCCGGTCCCAGTCTGTGCGCCGTCCCCAGCATGGACGGGCCGCGCTTCCCCCATCCCCGGCATGGACGGGCCGCGCTTCTCCTCCTGCACCCCCGTCGGCTCCGCGGGGAGACGCTGCTGGGCGGCCGCTGCTGTGCTCCGCCTCTCCCTTCGGAGACTCCCGGACCGTGCCGGCGCCGCCGGCCCTCGGGCGGGCTCTGGGTTTTATCCCGGCCCTTTGGTGGCGGGGCTCCCTCGGGCCGGGGCTGGCTGAGGGCCAGGGCAGATCCCTGCAGAGGGGCCGATGCAGCCGGGCTGCGCTGCAGGGCCGCCGGCTGTGCGGGGTGAAGCCGCGGGGCTGGAGCGCGCTCGGTGCCAGCGGGGAGGCCGCTCTCGGACCAGCACCGTCGCACCGTCTGTGCTCATAGGCGGTGGGGGCTGTGTGTGGGCAGCCGGCAAGCTGCTGCATGGGGCTGTTGCCTTCCTGGCTTTGGCCGTGTCCCGGTAGCGATTTGACTGCGTTTAGTTGCCCGGGTTTGATTGACTTTTGATGGGATAAAGCAGGCGGTTTGTCCCTGAGAAAGCAGCGGTGCTGTGCGTGTTCGGGCTTGGTGCTGATGGGGGAGACCCGAGGGGTTTTGCACAGCCTGGCCTTTTTTTCCGAGCACCTGACAGGGGTGGCAGCGGGATGGGAAAATGGGAGCGAGATCGGGCTGGTGCCTGCGCAGCGGGATGGTTCAGTCGGTGCTGGAGCAAGGGCAGAGCTGCCTGATGTAGCCAGAGAAGGGCTGGGTTTGGAGCGCGTCCTGCAGCCTGGCCTGTGCCGCCAGCTGTGCTCGGGCTCCTGGGCACATGCCGAATTCTTTCCAAGAACTTGGCGCAGAGCGTGGCGGTCTCCTAAAGCAGCAGGGCCTATCCTGTAAGTAGAAGAACATGTTGATGATTTTTCCTCTGTACTGAAATACAGTCTCTCGCAAATAACAAGCCACATTGTATTTTGAGTGCTAATTTATATTGCAGCTGCAGTAGCTGGACTTTTGGTATATTCATGACCATTTGTCTTATTTATATCTGTAAGGAACTTTTACTATCCAGTTCTGTTCTTGTGAGTTTTGCAGACCAGCTTGTTTTCAGCATTCAGAAGAGTGCCTGCCTAATTCTTGTTTTTTTGTGGATTTGTGGAATCCAGCTGATGCTTGAGTGACAACTTTGTTTTAGTTTTTTTGAAGCCACCCTCAGGATCGTTTCTCTTGCATTTCATTTAACTTTATTAAGAACAGATTCCAAAGGGAATTGTTGCAAACTTGCCTTCTGCCATCCCATGTGAATAGGTTATGAATAAGTACAGTGTTGCTGCAGTACTTAAAAGTAGATGTATTTATGAGGAAACACTTTTAATCTGAGGGCAAAGTTGATGTGTTGCTGATGAGCACCATGTATATTGTGAGTTGATATGTTCTGCTTTCAACAAAACATCACAAGCTGTGGTGATCAAGACACAGAGCAGTGTTTGCTTTCTGTGGTTAATGTGTTGTGATTTACATGATGAAGGTTGTGAAGTATAAAAAAAAAAAAGTCCTGTCCATGATAGATGGAACTGCAGTAACTTATGCAGAGCAAAAGTATGTTTTCCTTCCTAGTTGTTGGACTGTTTCAATATGGAAAGACTTAAAAAGTGTTAAGTGTAATATCCCAAGGGGTCTCCTTTGTCATTTTAATCCAGTATAAAGATTCCTTGGGAGTCAGAGTGGAATTAAATAAAAATTGATGACAAGAAAAATATCTTTTTATTTTTAAAGACAACTAAGTGTTTTCTTTCAATGAAATATTGGGCTAAGACCAGAATACTGTGGTATTTGCCTTCCTTAATTTTGTCCTAGCTATTCCTACGAAGTTCATTAAAAATAAGTAACACAAAGACATCATACTCAAGTGTAATAAACCCTTGTGAGTATACATCCTTTCAGAAACCACGTAGAGCTGCAGTTCAATCCTCTGTAGTCCAAGAGGTGCCCCTGGTTGCTGTACCCTGGGCACACCAGGCTTGCAGAGAGAGCAGCAGGAGGAAGCCGAGGCACGGCTGCGGGAGCAGCAGCAGCGTGCGCAATATTCCTCCCACAGCTGCCACCCTGTTGCCACGGAGGTAATGACTTCTCCCGTGTCATTATTGATCTATCAACAGTCAGAGCAATTTGGCAGTCTGATATTGTTCAGCAAATAGAGTAATGTCTGCTGAGCACTGAAAAAACTGCTATAAAATGCTAGGAAACTTCTCAGAAGTCTTGTGTACTAGGGTAAACAGAAGTACTGGATTTGCAGTTACTGTAGTTTTATGAGATTGGCCTATGAGATATTAAACTTAACAGAATACTTTTTAATAAAATATTCAGTGTGGTCAAATACTTTTGGATTATGCAATATAGAGCACTCAATTAGAGGATAATTGAGTACTGATAAGACTTAAAACAATTTGTCCATGTACACTCTAGAAACAAATAATTATGTCACCAGGTTCCATCTTCTGTTAGTCTAAGTGAAACTTCTTGTGTTTTCCAGATAATGATTTAAATCATCTGTTCAGAAGAAACACTAATGGGATTTGCAAAGACTCCTGGCATTTTGCTGATGCTCCTGTTAGAAGACCTGTCACCTCATTTTGGAAACACTAATAAAAGCACCAGTATTCAAACTGCAGGGTTTAAATGCTCACAGTGAGTCATAACCTGGATTAACATCAGGCATTCTGCTGCAGAACAGAATTATGATTTATAAGTTTGTGGTTTGTTCTCACATGGTGTACAAGGAGGTGGACATCCAAGAATGATACTGTAAGCAAAAGGGGTTTTATTTGTTTTTAAAAAGGGTAGGGCTAAGTTAGCTGGTGAGAAAGAAAAGTCTCATTTCAGCTTATCAGAACAGGACATGTCTTCATGTTCAAGTCTGATATCTCTGTCATTCTGAGTTGTGGTAGTGACTGAAAATGAAGTTCCTTGTTGTGCCCTAACAATTGAGCTCTATTTAGCAGAGGTTTTTTGTTTATTGAAGTTTTTAAGTGGGATAGCTTGAGCTCCACCTGTTTTGCATGCCAGGTAAATAATCTCAGTGTACCATCATGGTATCATCTGCCAGCACCAACATATCCTCAGTTTTGAGAGCATTTTGAATGTTTAAAATGTGCTTACAATTCTGAGCTGCCTAAATAGTGAACACTGAAAACACATCTGTGAAATGTTCCTGGTTATTTTGGAAATGTGCCAGTTTTTAAAAGTTGGGCAACAAACAGCAGAAATATAAAAATGCTGTGGGGGTTTTACAGGGAAACTGACATTTTGAAATCTGAACTGTACCTAACTTCCTGTTTTGGGTATAACCTAGAGATCTATAAGCAAGCTTGTTTCTGAACTGAATTAAGTTAAATCCATGGATTAATTAAATAATATCTGTGGATTTATGGCACCTTCCTAAGAGTGTGTGCTTTAGCCTTAAAATACAATGTTCCATTTCATGAATGATGTCAGTGAAGAATATTTACAAAGTGACCTGTATCAGTTTAACTGATGGGGATAAACATGACCTAAGGCAGTTTTTCGATTTAAACCATGTAAAGAGCTTTGGCAGAGAGGGGTCATGGTAATCATCCAAGGAGAAATGTCTGAGCCCCACATTTAAGAAATAGAATGGAAGGTCATGTTCAGGCTTGAATGTGGACCTTTAAATGAGGCACTCTTGGGACTTCATTTATTCTTAATGACACTTATGTCACTGTGTGCCTCTTTGCACTGAGCTTTGTGAGTTGTGACACTGTCTTGAAGCAAGGACAAGTAGTATGGCCTCTGTAATAGAGGAGCAGCAGATTTATTCTTTGGGACAAGCAAGCTGCTTGCAACTGTTCTGGCATATGAAAATCTGTTAGATCCCAGTTTCTGACTTGCAGATGGTAGTGCTTCTTGAGTCTTTCAGTATTACAGAGGAAGCATAATTTTATATGTATCTATTTCCATGCAGAACTAAGAAATACTGCCTCTAATGAGAACACTTCTGGCCTCTTTTCATCCAGGAATTAGGAGTGCTAAAATCTTTGATGGGCCTTAGAAAAAGATTGGGCAAGCTCAAGAAAAAATTGATCTGCCAAATATAAAGATGCCATTATGGTATCAAGTCCTGAGCCGTACAAGGCTCAGTATATGCCACAGCGGAGATGGCCATGATATATGGAGTATCATCATACAATTTAATGAAGCTTCAACCCGTGCAGAGTAACCCCATACCAGTTTAGAAGGCTGCAAGCACATACCCATGCAGAGTAACACTATATCACTTCAGAAGGCTGCAATTGTCTGCTCATCTTGTTCTTTAGCCCAGCCTTTTATACCCTCATGTTGATGCACTGCACCTGTGTGCCTCTGTTCCCTTTGGTGGTTGGTCAGTGCCCCTGGGCCCTCCAGGGCTCATTGCTGTCAGTGCTGCTCACAGCTGTGCCCATTGGGGATGGGGCTGGGCCAGCCCCACTCCCAATCACCACAAACTGTTCCTACAGCTGGGGAGTGGGACTGGAACTATGTGCATGTCCTGTTCTTTGCTTTCTGTGCACTCACTTTTGTCCACTGACATGGAAACAGCATCTTGGTCTCTGGTATGGTAATTTGTACAACTGTCATTTATCTGAAGTGCTGGAAGTGTCTTGGTTTTTAGTAAGGCTGGGAAAACCCCAGGGCACTCACTGCCTGTAAGAAGGATTCTTGTGCCCCAGTTAAGGTTTGCCAGCATGCTCTGTCACAGCAGTGGTGACAGGGACGCTTTCATTGGCTCAGTTTATTATAAAAACGTGCAGGTGCAGTGAGGCACAAGAGCATCTGCAATTATCGAGCATGTCGTGACCACGAGGGGGCCCTGGCAGCTTCGGTCAGAGTTACACACTGACCACAGGGGCAGGGCTGATTGCTTGGTGCCTCAGTGGTTACATCCCTTCTTGTTCAGCACTTCTGAATTACCTTACCTCTTTTATATATATATATATATATATATTTTAGTTACAGTATTTTGCTAAGTAATTTTGAGAAATGCATCTTGTTACAAAAAATCAACACTGGCTATTTGATCTCCTCTGTGGCAGAACGCAGACAGTACCAAGCATGTCATCACACATGAGTTTTCATCTGTATGGACAATTTCCCCAAGTAAAAGTTCAGGAGTTTTGCACACATCGCTGTATTTGTAAAGTAGAAAGAATTGGTATGAATAATCTTAATTATAAGGGTTTTTGTATATCTTAAGGGTTTTTAAGTTTGGCACTACAATATTTCAATAAAGATTTTATTTCTTTGCACACCCTTTATTCTTTCATTTTTTCTAGGAATGTGTGTTTGTGAAATCAGCAGCTGCTTTGAAGTTGCTGTGCTTTAAATCCCTGCCTGCTGACCACAGATACCGATATCATGTGTACGTTAAAAGTATCCATGAGTACAGTAG